ATATTTAGGGAGCTTTAATAAAAGCTTTTAGTGTTGAAATTATTAATCTGAATATTATATTTATGATACACATTATTTTCATATAACAGCGTACGCCCATGCCTATTTTATAAATTAAATTGGGCGTGTTTTGTTTACAACTGCGTTCCCCTGCGGATACCCCGTACCTACAGATCCGTTGGGCACACTATAGATATTCTGTGCTACTAGTTAAAAGTGCTTTTAAAAATTCTGTATTTCGAAGGGGAATATCACAAAATATCAAGTGTGCTATATTTTTGGAAATGTAATTTTAAATTCTTTTCGGTTAATTAATAAATATATAGGGTGTCCCAAATAAAAAATCAATTTTTCTGTAGATAACTCTTAAATTATTAATTTGAAAAAAATTATCCTTATACCATTAAATTCTACGTAAAAAGGTGCTTTGGAAATGTTTTCATAGAAATACAAAATTTTCCGTAGCAAAAAAGTTACAGCGATTTGTTAAAAATGCACATTTTTGAAAAACACCCCGTAACTCCTAAATGGTAACAGATATTGATGTGCGGTTTTCACCATCATGTTTTTGATGAAAATTGAGCTCCAGACACCGATATTAGTTTTCGTATCTCCTATAGAAAAGGGTGTTTCCATTTAAAAGCGTCGAATTTGACCCACCCTGTACATCAAATATCATCATTCTTTAATATGCCTAATTCTTACTAGGTATTTTAAAAAGCGACTTGAAACAGATAGGCACTTTGTACAATTTCCTGCTTTTGTTAAAAATGCCGGCGGTTTATAATATGCTTAGTCTTTTTGCAAAAAGCCGGATTATTCGATACGCCTGCGCCTGCGACATATACATACAAACTTCTCAAACTCTTCTATAATATTAGTAAGGATTTTAAGAAGTACACTGATAAAAATTAGAGTAAATTTACATTATTTTTTCACAGACAATTTAGAGTTTTTTTACATAAAAATAATTAGGAAGGTATTTCTACATATGAGTAATTGAATATTTACAAAATGCATGGTAAAAATACATTTTATGTGTATTTTTACAAGGCTGCATGTAATATTTCTTCTATTATACGTAAATTTACATGAAAAATACAGGCTACTATGTAGAATCACAAAATCCAATGTAAAAATTCGTCCAAATTGTAAATTTACAATGTATTAAGTTTCTTCAACCAATTATAATAATGTATCAGATCACGTGCTTGATTACGCAATAGTAGACCACGCGATGAAGCCGTCCACTGTCTATAGAGACTGAACTGTATTAGGTCCGCCATCACTATAGCACTTGTGGTTTTGGGTGATACAGCTACACCATTTAACTTATATTGGACAACTCAATATTATTTGAATTAATAGTCTAGGTGAAAATAAAAGGTAAGTTGTTATTAATAAGTTTAATATAAAATGTTTAAAACTCTGTAAACAAAAATAATATTTAGAAGTTATAGGGCTGCGTGTGAATCTATATACAGGGTGTTTCAAAACAAATGCGAAAAACTTTAGGGGGTGATTCCTTGTTCAAAATAAAGGGTAGTTTGCTTTATAAACGTTGGGTCAAAAGTCAACCATTAGGGAGATATCGCGGTACAAAGATGGCGGAAAAATAATGTTTTTATATTTTATCTTGAAAACGAAAAGAGATAGACTAATGAAATTTTATGGAAGCATTACTGTTATGAAAACACACTTTCAGGTAATTTTTTTACTTTTTTAAAATGAGTGGAAGGCGTTGAAATAAACTACCCCTATCATTCTTGTTAACGAAATTAATAAAATCTTATCAAACACATGCAAATGCTTTAATTTGGATAGCTTAGTTTGGTTAGAAACTTTTTTACCTCTTGTGTTTTTTTGATAAAACTGACCGATTGGAAATTAAAAAATAAAATGTAAAGCATTACATGTCAGGACAAAAAACATATTTAGATTAAGAATCTAGTAATATTTACGATAATAATAATCATCTAGATAATAACGTATTGCAGTAGAGTAATGTCAAATAAAATAATATTAGGAACATCCTAAAAACTAACAGCGGCCGACTAGATTTTTTCCTAAAAAAATTACAGCAGCCCACTAGATTCTTTATCAGAAAATGTTTTTTGTCCTGATATGTAATGCTTTACATTTTATTTTTTAATTTCAAATCGGTGAGTTTTATCAAAAAAATACAAGAGGTAAAAAAGTTTCTAAACAAACTAAACTATCCAAATTAATTTTTTTGCATGTGTTTGATAAGATTTTTCTTTAAATTTCGTTAACAAGAATGATAGGGGTAGTTTATTTCATCCCCTTCCACTCATTTTAAAAAAGTGAAAAAATTACCAGAAAGTGTGTTTTCATAACAGTAATGCTTCCTTAAAATTGTATTAGTCTATCTCTTTTCGTTTTCAAGATAAAAAATAAAAACATTATTTTTCCGCCATCTTTGTACCGCAATATCTCCCTAATGGTTGACTTTTGACCCAACGTTTATGAAGCAAACTACCTTTTATTTTGAACAAGGAATCACCCCCTGAAGTTTTTCGCATTTGTTTTGAAACACCCTGTATAGTATTGGAACAGAGATATGAAAGATAATTGAATATAGTTCAGAAAGGAAACTTTGATATCATCTTTATGGCAAATAAAATAGAAACGAGAAAAAAACGTACAAGGACAATGTGGAAATTTCGATGGACAAAATTTATCGAATTCGGTTTTAATAAGGTATGTATGACAAATACGTTTACAAAATAATATTATACAATACTTGTTTGTAGTAGGGTCAGATCCAAGAGTATTATCTCGGCTTATTCCTTTTCTAGTCACTTTCATACTGCAAATATGTGCAAATATGTATATAAGTATTACAAAAACTTAGTTCTAAAGCATTATACTTTTACAAGTATTGTTAAATTTCCTAAATATTTTAGATATATGAGGATTCATTTTTTACTGAAAGGTATTGGCGTGTTTAGGCCTCCAGTTAAGAATGGGACATTTTTCTAGGAAGATGTAGTAACCCTGGATATGATTCAAAAGCTTAATGTAAAACTTCAAGTGAATTTCGACATACTCGTAAAAGCAAAATGTATCTCAGAAGGTAGGTTTTTAATTTAAAATATAGCATTCATTCACATATTACATTGTAGGACATAAAATCTTGAACTAATTCTGTTTAAATTGTTTTATATTCAATAATACCGTATGATCGAGAAAAAACGGCGTCAGCGATGGCTATGGAATGAAGATCGCTGTCATTTTAACTGTAAATTTATATGGGAAATGTCATTGATGTTCATTTCCCAGCCAACTGGACGCCGTTTTTTTTCGATCATACGGTATTAAATATTTGTCTTATGTTGTGTTGTAATTTGTTTTTTAAGTAATCTATTCTCGACATTTTTGATTTGTGTTTGTTTGGTTTGGTTTGGTTAAATATCTTTTAGTGGAATTATAACACTGAAAGTTAATAGATATTTAAATAATCCAATGAGTTTCTTTTATAAACAACTTTTGTATGCAATTTACAGTTCCTAGCTCCTGGTCATATTCATTCATCTATAGTGTAATAATACATGGTAAATACACATTAAATCGGACAGAGTAAAAAAAGTTACATGTCCATATAATGTAAAAATACACGCTAATGTAGTAAAAATACATAATCTGAAGTGAACTTAGTCGTATAATTACGACACTAAAGAAGTATAAGTACATTGTAAGCTTAAATAACAAATGCATTTCTACACTTTAATTTTACACACCAAAAATGTAAAATTACATGATAAATGTAAAGTTCCAGACAAGATGGAATTTTACACATATTTGTGTGGCATAAAAGTAACCAATAATCTAATGTGTATTTTTACATATTTTTTTTATCAGTGTAGGAGTGAATGTGTTGTTACCTTGTATAAAGTATTATTGAATTTTGTTTGTATATTTGGTTCTTCTTTCAGTGCCTCTGCTCTGCAGATGCTACTTGTGATGTATGTCATCAGTGTTTCACAAGAACACGGGACTTACAGTTTATCGCCGAATCCCGTACTATTTGAAAGGCTGTAGTAAGCAAATGTACTTAGGGGTCGCCAAGTTCTTGAAAATTTCAAGGTCTTGTCTTGATTTTAAGAAGTAATTTTAAATTTCAAGAGAAGATAAGAAATCAAAAGAAATTTGGAAATAACTTTGACGTAACAATGAAAACGCTTAAATGCATTTATTTACGAAAAATTTTGTTCACATTATAAATAATGTAATTTAAAGTAAAGCAGCAGAACCTATTTAAAATATAAAAATATTTTATATAAGCTTTGCTAGAATTATCATTTTTAGCTTATCTTAAATGAAATTCATTATTATCGCGCGAATTCGTTATTATCTTCTCTTTCAAGACTCGGTGCTGTTCCTGGTATAGGATTTTTTAGATTATTCTCGGATTTATACTCTTATTGCTATAAATCAAGTAATATTATATCTTATCATTTTAAACGAAAAATTGAAATTTTAAACGATACTAATCGTACTTAAACAATAATATCAACGGTATATTTTCCTAATGTTCATAAAATAATAAATTCACTACTATTAAGTGTTTAACATTCAGAGCGAGGGAACGCGAGAATATCCAGAAAAAAATTCAAAATAAAAGTGATTTATTCAAAAGTAAAATATCTAAAGTTAGTGTTGACATTAAAGATATCAAAAATTTTTTGGTAGAACCTAATATAAAGTGTTTAATCGTTGAGAATAAGGAAACTGAGAGTGTAATCGCAAACATTTTGCATAGTCTGAAAGAACTTCTATTGGAGTCACGAAGCGAGCCGACATTATATAGTGAGTATGAAGAATTAGAAAGTTACTGTGATCCAAAAAATATAATCTGTTTAAAATGGCCAGACTTACTGGAAATAGTTCAAGAGAATATAATAGTACCAATTTATTTCTACCTCCTAATAATTGAAATTACATCCAAAACAGACTGTATATCGTCAAAGAAATTATTCATGCATATTATACGTACATTAAATATTTCTATAAACAAGAAAATAATAATTGCTAAATCTGAAGATGAAGTATTAAAGGAGTATCTGCCAATGTTTCCATTAAATAGCATCCAGAGAATAAATAAAAACATAAACGAGTTGATACCAAAGATTAGTACAAATATTGAAAATGATATTATGCAGGCCATACGTATTGACTCTTTTAAGGATGTAACAGAATTAATAAGTTCTTCCATTGTTCAAGTGAGTGAAAATAAAAGACCTAAAGTTTTGTCGAACGTTAACTTCTCGAAAATACTTTGTTTCGCTGCAAGTAAAGGTAACAAAGAAATTGTTTTAGCACTCTTAAAACATTCAAAATAGTATCCCAAAAGTGTTATTAACAAAAATAAACCTTTATATGAAGCATGTCGGCTTGGACATAAAGACATTGTTAAAATATTATTGGAAAATGGTGCGGACGTCAATTATCTCTCAGGTTATATAATAGAAACACCTCTTCATATTGCCGTATTCAATGGTCATGATTATATTGCTAGTGTTTTATTAGACTTTGGTGCAGACTATGGCGTTAAATGCCAATGTGGTTATACTGCTCTACATTATGCATCACGGAAAGGGTATGTTAGACTTATAGAAAAATTAATTAAAGTGGGTGCAAACGTTAACGAAAAAATTACAAAAATAGCTGAATTTGATGAACGTTTGAAACCACAAACACCTTTACAACTATCAGCTGACTCTGGTCACAAGAATTGCTGTGAAATTCTGCTGAAACATGGAGCTTCCGTTAATGAAAGAAATTCGAATGGACAAACCGCATTACATATTGCAGCCATACGAGGAAATGCTGATGTTGTTATTGTATTGCTAAAGAATGGTGCATCTTTAAAACTTCAAAGTGACGACGGCCATACACCAATACAAGCAGCGGAAAAAAATGGAAAAAATGAAATAATACCACTTTTAAAGAGACGAATATAATAAATAATATCAGTATGGATGAATTGAATGTTTAATGTTTTGTCTCAAAAATGATTTATATTATAATAATATAGAAATATTTCAATTCCAATAAACTTTAATTGTGCTTATACGAAAACGTGTTTCAATTAGTCACTTTTTTACATTGCAATGTTCTAAAATATCTGCTGCCATTATAAATAATTAAATAAATAAAGCAAAAAAAAACAATAAAAATTGTCTTTTTTATGAGTTAGCACTGAGAAGTTATTTTCCTCTTGGATTCTACGAATTAACTCAACAATTACTACATTCTATTTCAAAAAATCACTAAAATTTAAATAAAAATGAAATGAAATTGAAATATCTACTCTGGAGTAACTATGGGTGGGTAAAGTTGATAAAAAATCTATTTATATCAATCTTATTAGACACGTGAGTTTTGTAAAGATAACGGTATCAATTGGGACTACATATCAAAATACTTCAGATTCTTAAAATAAGCATTATTTAATTATTTGGTATAATGTTGCTAAATGTATTACCTATATTTTATATTATATGTATTATAGTTAGGCATTTGTATTTTTAATTGAAAGTGAAAGTTTTTTTTTTCAAATTTAGTTAAGTTGGTTTATGTTGTTTGATGTAAATTTTAAGTTACCTATGTTTCTTTTCGTTTTTTTTTCTTCGCTTGTGTTCATTTGTGTTTATATTAATTTCCTCATGACTGATTACTTAATATATGTGTTATTAATAACAAAAAAAAAATAAAATTATCGATTCTTTAATTAATTAATTCCTTAATTTCATTAACAATTTTTTGAAGAAATATTATTATTAAGAATTAAGAATCAACAATTAAAACTCTCAATATAAAGTTTTTTCCAGAATCTCAAATATAAAACTGCAACCTCTACACTATCCCCGAAATGTTTTACGAAATATTTCTGGAAATATTTCGTGAAACAAAAAAAACTTTCGTGAAAGCAAAACATTCTGGAAAGAGTACGATAAATATAAGCCCGCACTAACCAATCACGGCGCGTCTCGATGAATTTCAGGAAACGTGGGAACTAATTTTTATTACACAGGCTTATATTTATCGTACTATTTTGTGAAATAGCACGAGGCAATCAAGGTCAACCATTGTGGTGGCTTCAGAAAAATAAGTAAACATGGAAAAACTGATATGAAAACAGTTACGGATGGTAAATTAAATTGTCTATTCCTGGAAGGTACAAGAATATTTAGTTTTAATCATTGTCTAATATTACTAATTGCAATATAGTAAAAATATATAAAACAGTGAGTAACTAGCGGTCTGCCATTTATCGGCTTATAATCCACGGTATTGCGCCTCATGAACAAATAAATATACACAAAATTATTTAAAAAATTGTCTAACTATTTATTATTTTTGGTTATGGTAAAGTAATATTTATACTGTAGTTTGTAGCAAAGTTTAGTTTACGAATCAGATTTCTCTTAAAAACAATAAAAGAACATTGCATTTTAAATAATGTCCGTGCGTGGACCATACTTTTGTTGACATCGGGTTAATTAATAATTTTCCCGAGAACATATATCGATACTGTCACCAGTATTACATCAAACATACTACTGTTATATGAATCAATTAAGGCCCTAAATAAACATATATACAATTTTATATACTAATTCATTATAATAAAACTAAATCATAAAAATATTGTAATTTTACTCCTGCAGTTAAAGTGAAGAGTTTTGTTCTTAAATATCTACTATACATAATAAACGCGTGTTTAAATATTAATTCTATGGAATATATATCAATATAACATAAAACGAGATGTAATTAACGAAATATCATCGTAACAACAGCTATCTTAGAAACGTCTAGGTTTACTTATTTCACTGAGATTTATGAAAAAAAATCCTTTGCCTCGGATACAGATACCGCCACGTTCATGCCGTCACAAATTCCCCCACGCCTTCACGAGTAGTTTTCAAGCGCTTTTAAGAATCGAAAGTAGGTCGAGGCAAACCAAAGTACCCAACAAGCAAAATTTATTGCTGGAACATTGCCAATACTTCGCAAAGCAAGGTGTAACATTGCTTTTTTCATTGTAGGGAGGTTTATACAAGGTTTCAGGGTAGCTTAATCTTCGGCCTTATAACATTGCAGTGCAAGGTTGCATTTCACAATATTATTGAAACGTTGCTAACGTAACGTTCAAGAAAGTTCTAATTTGGGATGTATTAGCAAAATAAAAACACTAAATCACCACAATACACCAAAACACTTTTACTTTTACACTGGACGCGCGTTTCGCTAACCATGTTAGCATCATCAGCAGATGATTATAAACTGTTTATAACTGAGTTTATAATCATCTGCTGATGATGCTAACATGGTTAGCGAAACGCGCGTCCAGTGTAAAAGTAAAAGTGTTTTGGTGTATTGTGGTGATTTAGTGTTTTTATTTTGCTGTGTAACACCAAAGGTTCCAACCCTCAACTGTAATCTGGGATGTATTAGCAATATTGTTAATTTTACGTCAATACAATATTGGTAAAATTATATTATTAATTATAATTAACTGACTTATTGCTAAAATAATATAGCAAAAAATAGATAATGTGTGCATTAAAAAACCATTTCATTCATCAGAGGCAAAATATAAAAATTATTTTTTAATATTTCCTTATCAATTAATGAAACAGTTTTTTCTTGCGAACATTAGCAATTTTATGCAATTTTATGTTAACAATAATACATCAGTAATAGGTTATAATCAACAGAAACATTAATGGGTATTAAATTCTGGACTTTCACATAAGTATAATATACTTTTACTAATATTGTATTGACGAAAAACATAAACAATATTGATAAAAATATGTAGGTATATCTCTATATCCATTGACTTAGAAAAACTAAAATTGCTCGGTAAATATATCCCTACCAAGAAAGTCGAATTTGTCAAACAAATTGAAAAAAAAAACAAATAAAAATTAGAAATTTATCACTTACTTGTTTCAAAAATATCAAAAATACTGTCAAGTACTGAGAACTTACTGATATTTTCGGCTGCTTATTAAATAAGGAATTACTCAACTCTGACCTCCGAGTCGAATTTCTTAAAAAAATCTTAAAGTTGAATGTCTGAAATAATACAAAATATATAGGTACAGTATAAACATTATTTTATATTTCTTATTCAAAAATACAAAAGTATTTATTCAAAAATACATACGGTGTATATAGGTATATATATATATGTTAGATCACAAATAATGCGATTCACTTTTTAAAAAAACATTTATTTGCTTTAAAACATTTATAATATTTTATTTTATTTTATTTATTAATTTTATTATAATTTAACAAAAAAATTCAAACGGACATAGTCTCGTTCGGCAACTAAACTACTCTCTTTTTGATTAACAAAAATAATTAGGTTTTAGTTTCTTCAAATGAAAGATTCAATTGCTTACAAAGTTTTATTTTTTCGTGGAAGTATAAACTAATATCTTCTTTTGGTCCTCGAACTCTAAGGGTCATTGCACGCCAAAGTGTAGTCAGATTTTTTTCAAAAATAAAGGTTTCTTTAAATTCTTGCCTGAATTGTCTACATGAATTTAAGTATTCTCTTCTATAATCATACCAATGGTATGCTGCAGTTAAATGAGAACGCGCAGTTTCCAACATAAATTCTGGAGGCCAATTATGGAGTTGTGCGGCACTTTCTATACTTTCTAACCAAAATTTACTTTTCTTCAAGTCAATACCGTCGAAAAATGGAATGGATTTCGAAAAATCAGGCATAATATTATAATTTGGAACATCCCGTTGTTGATTTTGACGGTCGTTCATCATTTGCAGCATAATGGCATTTTGTTGGATTATAGCCTGCATCGTATCCAATACAGTATTTAAATTCACAGGCTCACCCTGTCGTGTCTGTGTATTATTACTAATACGCAGCTCTACTTGACTTCGGTAAAAATTTTCAAAATTTGATTCCAGTACAGGATTTGGGCTAATTTCACTATCCTGTTCACTCATACTTCTCATAAAAGAACGTCGGACGATTATTCCACTTCTGAATTGTTATCTCTTTTACAAAATTCCTTTGGAAATAAATTCAATTTAAATATTTAAACTTCTGACATATTCATGGTTTCAAATTCCTTTTCGGTAAAGTTTTGAAATCTATATCCAAACATTTCTAAAGTAGTAAAAATAAAAACAGTTGTAATAAATAAAGCAATGAGAAACTTACCTCTTGTGACAGTAATCTTTGAGGCCCCTTTATGTCCTTATTTTATAAAATTTCAAATGATTATAACATCATTAAAAAAATATTATTGAGAATAATTAATACTGAATATTATTTGTGATTTTATCATTAGATTGATATACTCGTATCCTGATTTTATCTACTTCAATCTTCAGTTGGCTAAAAGCTAACCTAAAACATAAAATTTAGCTTAAAAACAAACTAAACTAAACAAAATTTGTTATACTTATTCATGGCTCTCATTATTAAAACACACATAATAATAAAATTATACTTACATTTACATTCATTAAAATCTCATTCGAAAAGCATAAAACGTGATACCAAAAACGCATATCAAAAACGTAAAAAAACAAGTGCATTAACCAAACTTAACTTATACCATATGATCGAAAAAAAAAAAGATATCAGCGATGGATATCAAAAAAAAAATCGCTGTCATTTTATATAGGGAATGTCATCAATATTCATTTCCAAGCCAACTAGACGTCGTTTTTTTCGATCCTATGGTATATTTGTTATATTATTAATTAATATTAACTTGCGCGGATCTTTCATTTGAATCCTTGTTGCAATGTTGCAGAAAAAACGTTTTAATCACCATTCAAAAACAATGTTTCTGTAGCAAGGTTTCATCAATCACGATACAACGTTTAGAAATCAACATTACAAAGCAAACTGTTTGGGGATTGACTGCAATGTTGCAAATGTAATGTGAGGTTTTTTGCTTGGTGAGTAGACGCTGTTTAACGTTAAATTTTATATAAATTAATCTAAGATTATCTACATATATTTTTACTACTATTTGTTTTTTTTCCTGAAAGCAGCCAAAAGTCAATCGCAAAGAAGAAAAACAATATGAGATCTCACGAGGCGAAATTACGTATGTGCTTTTCCTATAGTTCAATACCTTCTGCCGATCCGAATATATTTTAGACAGGCGAT